TTTTTCAAATTAAAACGTTTCGGAAACTGGATTCCGTCTCAAGACGGAGACAGAATCCGGTCTCCGAAACGCTGTGTCTTACAGAATAAACAGGACGCTGTTTTTAGATGAAGAGAGGACGATATGTCCAAAATCATAATACTTGTAGAGCTTCTGTGTTTCCATTAAAGATACTTATGTAAATTAACGCCAACGGTTTACAGACGTCTGCTACAACGAGTTAAAACGAAAGGCAGACGATCTACGTATTTCATACCCTCACCAAGTACAGTATCCCTATGGAGCACCACGACACCCACGAAGATGGGACAGGTTAATGGACCAAACTACGAACCGATTAATATTACCAAAAAGAACGTCCAAACAAAGCATCTGTTTCTCTACTGAGTGCGTGGCGTGACAATGTCCCATCCGTTATGTAGCACTGTCGTTTTTCAGTCCGACGTTGTATTTCAACCGTGAGCGCGCTTCTGAGTGTGATTTGAAAAATCGACGAGACATGATCTGTATACAAACATGAAGTCGTGCAACAGTGTAAGGTGGGGGGGTTGAGGGGGAAGGGGGAACATGCGTACTCTTCAGCACCTGACAGTCACACAGACTGGTACCTTCACACCACTGGCACGTACCAAGACGCTACAGCATCTGTGACATTATGCTTTACATATTTTTATATGCGTTTCAGGCGCTAATAAATGGCAGATGGAACTTCTGAACGATCTAGCTTAGACACACGCATTTGGGGCTTAGAAATATTTCAATCTCTGGGTATAACTGATTACGATACATACAACAATTACAGTTTCATGAATTTCACAACATTCTATCAGACTTCTCCCAGGCCGAATGTCACAGTTATATCGGCAAGAGGAAATGTCAATATTCAGGGATGCCACAGAAACAGATATTCTAAGCAAAAAAGAAAACGCGTATATATGCATGTATCATATTCGAACTGTTTCCTGTACATGTCAAGGTTCCAGAACNAAAAGAAAACGCGTATATATGCATGTATCATATTCGAACTGTTTCCAAATAGAGCTATTTCACTGTACATGTCAAGGTTCCAGAATTGTTGATAGGAAAGGGATATTACGTTTTGTTTCTAATACATTCAAGTGACAAAGTTCGTGCAATTTATCTAGTATAAAATTTTTCGAAAATTCCGCCGTCAGCATCAATGCACTGTGCAGCTCGTGTGAGGACATGGCGTGTTGCTCGTCTGTACAGTGTACAGTGTACTGTACAGTGAAATAGCTCTGTCTCGGTGCAACTCGTGTGAGGACATGGCGTGTTGCTCGTCTGTACAGTGTACAGTTTACTGTGCAGTGAAACAGCTCTATCTCGGTGCAACTCGTGTGAGGACATGGAATGTTGCTCGTCTGTACAGTGTACAGTGGCAGTGGCAGTGAAATAGCTCTATCTCGGTGCAACTCGTGAGGACATGGCGTGTTGCTCGTCTGTACAGTGTACAGTGGCAGTGGCAGTACGCTGTACAGTGTACAGTGAGGATTGGCAGTTGAGTTGAGCTCTGCAATGGAGGCTGAGTAGAGACATCGATATAGTTAAGTCCACAGTTGACAAGAATTCTGTTGCGTGATATTCGCCGAACAGTAACAATTTGAGTGCGGGAAGCCGAAGGATCTCCATTGTTAGAAGCCGTTGCTAGGGAACGGCTGTTGGAGACACAACAGGCTGGGAAAGACTTAGCGTTTAGTGATTTGTAAAGTGTGGAGATTAGAGATAGCGCTGTCAATACCTGTAGTTTCGAGTGGTCAAATAATCCATTTATCAATCCATATCCCACCTATGACACCACTGAAACATGTGACAGTATTTTCATTAAGATGTGAATGTTAGAAAAAGAGCATAAAATTGAGTTTTGTTTTTCTAAGTTAGGTTGGCACTTTTGAAGACTCGCAGTCATACCCCGGGCAATTTTGCAGTTCACAGATGTTGTACGTGGCGATATGTAACAGTCCCACTTACACACAGGAGTTAACACGCCAGCGGGAATTGTGGCACAGCTGCAAGAATCATCGCTCCCAGTTCATCAAGGTTAGTGGTGGCAGGGTGCCGATGAATTGGATTCTCCCTCCAGCCTCATGTGAACATTCTGCTGCTGTCAAGTCAGGTGACCGAAGGGGACAAGGAATGTGCCTGCTCGAACTAGCCGTGAACCGGTGAAGGTCGTGTTGAGATACAGAATATTGTGGATCGACGTCTAGATTCGTCCCATTTTTTTTTTGGGGGGGGGGACCATATAGCATTTTCCGGCTTCCGCTCGCCATTGTTAAATCCGTCAGTTTACTTCACAATGTTGTCACAGTTACACGCGGCCGAGAAGAGAGGTACCGTCATGAAATAAAAAAATATAATCTGCTAATACAATGCACTTTGTTTCATACGTACTGTACACAGCTCGTTCACTGTACTCGTTTAGGAGACAGGACTGTAGAAGCAAAGACACTCTCGTATGAACTTCAGGTGCTAAAACAACCGACAGTTCCCGGATATGAGTGCATTTTAAACGGTCACAAAAACACGACAATAATGAAAATAGTTAATATTAAAATACACTGTTTCAGAGGCTCGTTAATTTGTATTTTAATAACTGTTAACGTGTTCTTATCTTCCAAAGTTATACGTTTCAAATTCACATGGAAATTTCATGAGCTATGGACTTTTAAGGAACATATTTATGGGATCAAACGTATTGTCACGTGATGGAGTGAATATAAACGGGGTTCGACGTAATGATCGAATCTATTGGAATCTTTGATGATACAGCGCGTGGCTACACTTTAGAATTCAGCATTACACGCACAAACAACGCACACACACATAAAAGTGTCCTCAGACTCGTCTTCACTAGCCGTTGCTCGGTAGTGGCTCCCAACGGTGGACGTTCCCCTTCCCCTGGGTTCGCGAAGTATCCCCGGCCTCAGCTACTAGTTTCTCATAACAAGAGCTCAGATGGACTGAACTTGAGCAGTTCTGTAACTCACCGAATCAATTCAACTGGCTCTCACTAAATGTTCTGCTTATAACTTCGCGGCACGGACCGCACAGAAACACCGCTCCTCTGTTGCTGTTTTCGTGCCGTTGCTTAGTTGTTTATTTCGCGGTCGTTGCCTAGCAACGGGTCTACAAGTCACAGTATCAAAAACACTATTCCGCGTAGGTATTTATAGGCTCAAAAACTATTTTTTATTGCCTTGCAGGTACCTATACATCTAGTAACCATTTTCAGCATGCTCATTCTTAGAAATGCAATCTTCATATTTAAATTATGTTATTTGAATTTTCTGAATGTTGGCTATTTCGTTTCAAATGCTTTTAGTTTTGTGACCGTATTCTGTCAATACCCATCTGCGTCCTCATCAAAGCTATAATTCAGATGAATATGATCAGAGTTTGTGGAACAGCCGTGCTGTTTGAATGTGTCGGATTTTCACAAAATATATTATGCGATCTTCGTACTGAATGACACTGTATCCATAAAGCAGCTCAGGGGTGTGGAGGTTATTTTGGAAGCACAGCTGCACGAACAGATGCCAATGCGCCGCTTATAACCTAAAGCGATTGACTGCATGCCCCCACAGAGAACTGTGTATAGCGTGCTTCTGAAACAGATTTTGCAGGATGAGTACAAGTGGACCATTACGACTAATAGCTCAACACAGTAAAAGTTAAATTTATCCGTGTTAACAGGCCATGGAGGCCCATGGGGTTGTGAGACGTCGAGGCCCCCACACTGTCTAGACAATCGGCTCATAGATGGCGGTGAAGTTGTCAGCGTTAAGCGCCGGTAGCCCTTTACAGCCCAGGGAGATTCCTGGTTACTCATTTCTGTTAGAGGTTGAGTCGACCCCAGGATAAGGTATTTTGAGAAATCCAATGACCTTATCAGGAATCAAGCCCGTGACCTTCCGGATTGATTTGAGAGTCGACAATTGGAGCAATGAGTCAGTTGTGGGATACTTTGTAGCCGGTAAGAAAGTGAGCACGAAAGTAGAGGACATTGTTGGTATCTGTCATCAGGTAACGATCAGTGAAGAGAAATCAAACAGAGAAGACACAGGACGTGCTGTAGTGAACTGCAGAGTGTGTGAATTAGCGACAACGCTATAGTTACTGGTATTTAGGATCTGTAAGATTTCAATAAATCCAATTATTAATCCAAAACCCGTCTACTGTCACATAGTGTCTCAACCATCTATGCTACCGCGTGTCCCCAGTGAATGCAGTATTTGCCTATTATTTTGTTTAGTCGATTAATGGGTTAAGAAGAATATGCAATTCAATCGCGTCGTTAAAAAAGTGAATATGTACAATGGATGGATTATGGATATGTTCTATTTTCCAACAAACTGATTCATTCAGTTTACGAAGTTTTTAAATTAATCTTAAAATGTAATAAAATGTCCACTGTGGCCATGGTGTACATGTGTGAAATTTAAATTCTTGCCTATCTGAAATCTCCCGACTTCTGCCACCTCAAGAAATCCTGTCGGAGGGCTTCTTCAACTGAACGCAACACCTTCCCAAGGACCACTTTATATTTACTTGCAGTCTGACGATGCTTTCACTTACGCAGACGATACAGTGTGGAATGGCTGGATGATAGTGAATGATGAACGGGGGTGGATGTGAAAGGAAACGGCTGTGGTGCAATTTAAAGTACTACTCTACCGTAATTGAATAATCGTTGTCACAGCCGAGGTTCAAACATGGTACCACCAGAACACAATTCATAAGCTCTACCGTTTTATGCAACTTGCTCTATCCAAGGATCTATCAAGTATTATTTGATCATTACTCGTAAAATAATAAGGGATATCATTAAAGGGTAATTTACTGATTTGTGCAGTGACTGGTCAGCGCTAAACGGTAACAGATTACACGTTACATCTGGTTGACTGAGCTAATTGTAACGTCATTTACTTGCAACTAGTCGAGCCAGACGGCTCGGCAGAAGGAAGCAGACATATACTTACTCTAGCTGAGCTCTGTACGGAGGCAGCGGCAGCGGCAACAGCGTGGCACAGCACGGAAAGCAGGAAACAGAGAGAGAAAAGCACAGATTAGCAACGCCACACAACTACACAAGCACAAGACATAAAGCAATCTAATTATAACAGCATAGCCGGTTCTAACATAAATGCATACTATGTCTAGTTAACGTACATGGCTACGTCCTACTTTATCCATACAAGGGGGTACATTGCAGTTTGTACTGTAATACTACGGACGGTCTATTTCGTGTCTCACCACAGAGTAAGGAGGCTGACAACTTCTCGCCGGACTCGGTTGCTTCCCGCTGTTTCAGTGCTGTTCCACAGTCTAAGATGCGATGATGTCTTCCTTAACTAAACTCTTTGCTGCTTCAGAGTCAGCGATAAGTCGACTCCTTTCGTTAAAAACTTTACTACTCCGGAGTCAACTATAATAGGATCTTTTTGTGAATCAGAAATATAGGATGGCTCAGAAGTTAGTTAACTGATTGCCAAAATGAACTCTTAACGCTTCTTTATTACCGAATTTACAAAAATTATCCGAAATGAGATAGATCATTCATGCTCAATGGACAACTCGCAAAACTGTTGACACCATTCTGCAAACTGACTTGAACATTCCATTTAATACGAGATAATGTTTTAGGTTAACAGACTTTTGGGCCACTCTGTATATAAATGGGTCTCCAAAGGCTTTAATTTTTGGGGTGTGGACGTGTCTTCAAATATTAATTAACGATCCAGTATCACGCTGCAAATTCAACTACAATATAAAGTACTGATAAAAGTGAGCCAAATAAACGGATTTGTTTTATGTTCTGTTTAGTATTATAATTATAACCAGGCTCATCTTCATTGCACCAGGTAAGTATATCTGAGCTTGAATGCATCAAAAGTACACAAACAATACAGTCATTAGGGTTAATCACGGTTCGTACAAACTCGACTTTCCTCAGCAGACAAACACTCACGAGATAAGGGGAGGAGGAGCTGCTCACACGTGTGAAACACAAATGAGAATCAAGATCCGTGCATAGTTACTTAGCATAGAGTTAAAAAGCCAGCAGATGTATGTTAAGAGAAACCTAAGAGGAGCTTCAAACGAGTTTATGTGCATTTTATACCAAAATAAACGGGTGTGGTATTTTAAACAAATCAGTAACAAGACGCAACTGTCGTTCTCATTTCCATACCTGCTTTTTTTTTTTTTTTTTTTTTTGCACCATGCTCTTCAATTCGTATTTAGAAGTTCAATGCGAGGGACCCAGAATTGTTCAATTCTAAATACTGGAAGCCGTTAACCTTAATAAGTTTTGATGATTTGGTCGACTGCTCTCAATGTTTCTAATAAATATTGTGACATATTTGCTAAAGATAAGAACTGTGAAGCCAGCAGACACAGCCATTACTAGAGAACGGCTCTGCAAACACGCCAGTTGCTAGGCAACAGATCCATAACACGCAAAAATGTAGTAACTGGAAAGCGGTGTTTTCTTCCCGGTCCGTGCGATACATACGTGATGCAACAATAGAATATCTGTTGGGAGGGGAGTTTTCAATGCCGTCAGTGTCGAGGATACATAATGAGAAAGTCTTCAGACTCCAGACGTGAGCGCGGGAGCAGGGGCACGTCTGCTGGTGGAGACACAGCAGAGTTCAGTGAACTGCAGAGCGTGTCAATTAGCGATAGCGATATAGTTACGTGTAGTTTCGTTCTCTAAGTCTTCAATAAATCCAGTTACCAATCCAAACCGCGTCTGTGGTCACAATCACGTGATAATGTTTTCCTTTTAAAAGGAATAATCCACTCAGGTACGTCTATTTCCTGTCTCGCGATTGAGTCTCAAGATGAAAACACTATCTTCAGGTACTATTAGGTATGTACACCGCATTACTGGTGTCAGGATAACTATGGAAACGTATTATCTTGATCTGCAAACCGTATTAATTGAAAGTACTATCTTATCTTCGCATCGTATTATTCGTGACAACAGAATTATGAGAACCCTACCATGTGATAAACACACCGTGTCACTATCTCTTGTATCCAGATAAGAGCGTAGTACGGAGATATCTGCATGCGCACATGCGCACATGCGCACAACTGGCCTGGTATGAATGCCTGTACCCCAGTAGGAGCTGACTTTGTTCTTTATGAAATACTAGCTGATCTACCAGCCGTTGCCAGGCACCGTAATGTACACGTATAATTGAAATGTGTAATGCAGTGGAAAACTGATATTAATATAAACTAATAAAACGGGAAGGAAATTAAATAACAAATTACAATATAATTCCGCATATTCATGGAGTTTATTTTTGGAAAATAAATATATGAGAAACTGTGACAGGCAAGCAGAGAATGCTAACCTTTTTTGTTTTTGTTTTTCTAAACTCTATGGAAAGCAAGAAACTTTGTTATGCTATGGCGAATGATTCTAGAGAAACAGGCAACGCACTCTGATTTGGTGGGGTGGTGGTTAGGTTGGAAATGTCTAACCGTCGCAGAGAGGTGTAGTCGTATGGAAATGTATATAGAACAAACAAACCAACAGACTCACAACCTTAAAGCATGAGCAATGGCAGGTAGTGAGTACATAGCACCCAGACAAGAGGTAAAATTGTCCCTGTGCTTACCTAATTACGCACAATGCCATGAAGACGTATGGGGGAGTGGATGTATAGATCCACGTTTTCTTGACTTCGGCAGTAGTTGGAGGTCAGTGGTGAGCTTCAAGCCCCGGCCTAGTACGCTTTGGATAGGAGGCTGCGTGGGCCCCATAGCCGATCTGGACGACGTAGAGTAAAGAAAATTCTTGACTCTATCGGGACTCTGACCCCTCAGCCGTCCAGCCCTTAGCCAGTCGCTATACCTACTGCGCTATCCCTGCTTTAGTCTTGTGTATTTTGCAATTTGCTGAAAGACGCCCCAGTAAATCAGATGGAAGTGAATAAGGAAACGGGAAAAATGTGGAATGAATCGTAACGTGGTTTAGCTTAAGACACTATCTCGTCACTTGCCTGGAGGTCCTAAGGAAACTCATGAAGAACCTCAGGACAGCTGATGCCTCGACTGAGATTCTAACCAGGCACCCTTTGAATAGTACTCCGACAAGCTACCACCTTGTCAAGTGTTCCAGATCGAGTCCTAGAATTAGCCATGCTGCATTAATGCTACTGGTATGAGCCCCGTTATATCGTGTTCATTCATCTTAACGTGACGTTCGTGTTAATATCCAGGAATGAACACGGTCATCTGTTTCACGTGCCGTGTCTTCACTGCCGCCTTAGAAGCTCCGACTTACATAGTGAGATACAGTATCATCAGCTATTCGCACATTACCTCCACCGCAAGTTTACAGCTAATTTTATTCTTTGCATATTGTTGTGTCTCGTATATAGCATTGTGACAAGACGCCCGAAAGCCGGAATAGTGAGGCCAGAGCAGACGTTCATTGCTAGGCACCGACTCAGTAAACACATTCACGCGGCAACGAATACGCAAGCAATAATTCAGTAACTTCGTTGCTATGCAACGGCGCTGTCTACACGCCTTCCCAAAAACAAGTCTGTGTTTTTCTGCGTGGTCCGTACAAAGTGATTCTAAAGAAGAATTCCATAGCTGGCATTTGCATTATAGAATTGAGTCGAGTTTCGTGGCCAGCCTGCCAGGATATGAGTCTGGGGGCAGAGGAAGTGAACTGAGCTCGCAGCTGCAGAATAATTGCAAGAAAGAAATTTGGCGCTGCGAAGACGACTTCATGTGTGATTTGAAGTTACAGTGACTTATAAATCCGTTGCCAGGATACGACTAGTGAAGACCCAGAACTCTAGTGCGTGTGTAAACTGTAAAGTGTTTCGATCAGCGATAGCTCTGTAATTGTCTGTAGTCCCGAGTACTGTGTATAATGTGAAAATAAAGCCACTCATCCAATCCAGAACCCGTCTTATAAATCACGAACAAACCTCCCCTAACCGTGATATTATTGTAATACAACCGCCAACACAACAAATTCATAATAAATAGCCAGTGTATTATAATTTGTTTATTACGTACAGTTGCTACACATTTCCAAGCTAAATGTAAAAAAAAAAATGTTAATTTTTTAACTTTTAATTTTAACGTTTAGCTTTCAAAGGAGTTAAAATATTTTACATTTTAAGAATAATATACAAAATGTAATTAAATTAGTATTAATGATTTCTAATACGGACCTGCATCATAAATACACAGAAATACAACTCAATAACGAATAGCACATTCCATTAAAAATTTCCTGATGATGATCCAGCTGGATCGAAACATGCAGCAGATGTACGTAAGAAACAATGACATTGCCTATTTATTACGAATTTGTTGTGTTGACTTTAATACTATCTGTTGCTTCCAAAGCGTGAACATCTGCTATCTGTTGCACATCCACCACAGCTGGCGTGCCTCGTAATCCATGTCAGGATATCGGCTATCTGTTGCGCAAGTCCCGTCACTGGCATGCGTTTCTAACACGAGTCACGCTATCTGCTATCTGTTGCGCATATCCTGTCAGTAGTATGAGATGTGGCGGAGTTACATGAGATCCTTCCTCCCGTCCCCTTCCTTCCCTTGAGTAACAGCGTCGCGTCGCGTCGTCTGTATGAGAAACTCGACGATCAATATTACGGGCTTACTGCTTCCACTATTCAGAGGAGTGTAGTGAACACAAAGACACAACTAATTACCAGGTTTCTTGCAGCTACTGGTAAATCCATCCATCTCTTCTCAGTTTCCTTGTTGGTCCGCTTAGATGTCTATTTCTTCCAGTTACTTTCTTGTTACAGTCTACTTCACAGGTGAAGAGGGATCACAAGGAACCCTCACAGTGTCTGCTGTACACCGCGCTGCTTGTTGGCTACGAATGGCAGTATTAAGACTGGAAGATATCAGCCCGCCATTATGCAACCACACGATAAATCACTAAAATGACCTCACAACTGGAAAAGAAATTAATTTCCGA